ATTTTGCCAAACATTCAAAGAAGATTTAATAGCTATCTTTCTCAAACTATTCCAAAAAATAGAAGAAGATGGAACACTTTCTAACACATTCTACGAGGCCAACATCACCCTGATACCAAAGCCAGACAAGGACAATACAAAGAAGGAAAATTACAGGCCAATATCGCTGATGAACATAGTTGCAAAAATCCTCAACAAAATATTGGCAAACTGAATACAACAATACATTAAAAAGATCATACACCATGATCAAGTGGGATCTATACCAAGGATACAGGGATGGTTCAACATCCACAAATCAATCAGTGTGATACATCACATTAACAGAACAAGGAATAAAAACCACATGATCATCTCAATAGACACAGAGAAAGCATTTGACAAGACCCAACATCCATTTATGATCAAAACTCTCAACAAAATGGGTATAGCGGAAAAGTACCTCAACATAGCAAAGGCCATATATCACAACCCACAGCCAACATCATACTTAATGGGGAAAAACTGAAAGCCATCCCTCTGAGAACAGGAACAAGACAAACGTGCCCACTCTCACCACTCTTATTCAACATAGTACTGGAGGTTCTGGTCAAAGCAACTAGGCAAGAAAAGGAAATAAAAAGTATCCAAATAGGCAAGGACGAAGTGAAACTCTCGCTGTTTGGAGACAATATGATTTTATATATAGAAAATCCTAAAGAATCCATTGGAAAACTTTTAGAAATAATCAACAGTTACAGCAAAGTTGCAGGGGATAAAATCAACTTACAAAAATCAGTTGCATTTCTATACGTGAATAACAAACTAACAGAAAGAGAACTCAAAATACAATCCCATTTACAATGGCAATAAAAGGAATAAAATATCTAGGAATAAATTTGACCAAGGAGGTGAAAGACCTATGCAATGAAAACTATAAGACATTATTGAAAGAAATCAGTGATGACATAAAGAAATGGAAAAATATTCCATGCACATGGATTGGAAGAATAAACATAGTTAAAATGTCCATACTACCTAAAGCAATCTACAGATTCAGTGCAATCCCAATCAGACTCCCAATGACATTCTTCACGGAAATAGAACAAAGAATCCTAAAATTCATATGAGGCAACCAAAGACCCCAAATAGCTAAAGCAATCTGGAGAAAAAAGAACAAAGCTGGAGACATCACAATCCCTGACTTCAAAATATACGACAAAGCTACAGTAATCAAAACAGCATGCTACTGGTACAAAAGCAGACACACAGATCAGTGGAACAGAATTGAAAGCCCAGAAGTAAAACCACACGTTTATGGACAGCTAATCTTTGACAAAGGAGCCAAGAACATTCAATGGAGAAAGGAAAGTCTCTTCAATAAATGGTGTTGGGAAAACTGGACAGCCACATGCAAAAGAATGAAGGTAGACCATTTTCTTTCACCATACACAAAAATTAACTCATAACGGATTAAAGACTTAAAGGTAAGATGTGAAACCATAAAACTCCTTGAAGAAAATATAGGCAGTACACTCTTTGATATTGGTCTTAGAAGGATCTTTCTGAATGCCATCTCTACTTCAGCAAGGGAAACAAAGAAAAAATAAACAAATGGGACTTCATCAGACTAAAGAGCTTTTGCAAGGCAAAAGAAACTATGAACAAAATGAAAAGAACCCACTAACTGGGAGAAAATATTTGCAAATCATGTATCTGACAAGGGGTTAATCTCCAAAATATAAAGAACTCATACTGCTCAACAAACAAACAAACAACCTGATCAAAAAATGGGCAGAGTATATGAACAGATATTTTTCCAAGGAAGATACACAGATCGCCAATAGGCACATGAAAAGATGTTCAACATCACTAATCATCAGGGAAATGCAAATCAAAACTACACTACGCTATCACCTTACACACATTAAAATGGCTATAATCACCAAGACAAAAAATAGCAAATGCTGGAGAGGATATGGAGAAAAGGGAACCCTCATTCACTGCTGGTAAGATCGCAAACTGTTGCAGCCTCTGTGGAAAACAGTATAGAGATTTCTCAAAAAATTAAAAATAGAAATACCTTATGATCCAGCTATCCCACTACTGGGTATTTATCCAAAGATCCTGAAATCGACAATCCAAACAGGCTTATGCACCCCTATGTTCACTGCAGCATTATTCACGATAGCCAAGAAGCGGAAGCAACCCAAGTGTCCCTCGACTGATAAATGGATAAAGAAGATATGGTATATGTATACAATGGAATACTACTCAGCCATAAAGAAAGACAAAATTGTCCTATTTGCAACAACATGCATGGACCTGGAGGGTATTATGTTAAGTGAAATAAGTCAGAGAGAGAAAGATAAACACCACATGATTTCACTCATAGGTGGAAGATAAACTAACACATGGACAGAGAGAACACTTTGGTGGTTACCAGGGGTAAGGGGGTTGGGGAGTGAGCACAAGGTGTGGTGGGACACATTTATATGGTGATTGACAAACAATAATGTACAACTGAAATTTCACAATGTTTTAAACTATTATGACATCAATTAAAAAAACAAACGAGGGACCGGGTTCTAGAATCTGCATTGAACACTTTTTCCTGCTAATATATATATATGTCTTCAAATTTATTACGTGTGTGTGTGTATATATATATATTCAATACTTAATGGGTAATTAGTATTGTCTCTCACTGAATATCTTCGAACTGCGCCCACTGATGTAACCTAACAAGTTATCTTTATAAATTGGATCTAGTTTGACTACTGGATCAGAGCACCTGGCACAGATGAATGATTTCCTGAGAGGCCACCACACCATCTTTCTGGAATAAAAACACCCAAAGGAACTTTGGTGGCCCTGTACTGCAGATTCCCTCCCCTCTGGAAACCTAAAAGCTCACAGGTGTAGGAACAAAAGTAAAAAAATTGCTGGGTTCTGGCCAATGGACCATTTTTGCAATACTCAGGGACGCTAGGGTCAGAGAATATTATTTCTCATAAGGAGCACTAATAATGTAATTTGTGACTTAAAAGAAGGTCACCTCTCCTTGTCAGTGACTATTACCTAATTGCTTGAAGGATTTTTCCGAGTAGATTCTCTGGAAACCTTTTACTTATTGCCATCTCTGAACTTTTTAAATCTTTTGCCTCCTAGATGTCTTGGAGAAAATGAGACAACGCAGTGTAGCTTGTAGTTTTGAGAGCATTTCCCCACACAGAACATTGTCTTACTTGATCCTCACAGTAACCTCATGAGTAGGTGAATAAGGCAGGTACTTTTATTCCCATTTTTAAGATGTGTAAACCAAGGCTTATGCCGCCACAATGAAGCAGGTCTCCAGAGGTTGAGTCCTGCACTCAATGTGACAGCCTTGGGCCTCAGCAAACATGAACTGGGAAGCAATTTTCACTGAGACTGCGCCTCAGAAAATCTTTTGATTTCTTTGCCTGCATTTCAGGGATATTTTTCTGAGACAATCAACTTTGTACCACGGCCGCAGTACACAAACGTTCTGACCAAAAAGTCACGTTTGTGTGTCTACAGAGCAGATAACCTTATAAAGTGTTTCTGTTTTTGTTTTTTCTTTTGTGAAATAGCCTGAAAACAGCTCCCCCTTGCCGGCCTTGGAAGCATGTCTTCACCAAAGTTAAAATGCAGAGCTGACAGAGAGAGTAAGTATTTCTGGCTGGCTCTGTCCCCGCAGCTGGGCGCGAGCTGTCCAGAGTAACCAATCAATAATAGGTATGGAGTGTTTTCTCTCTTCCTCCAGAGCGCTCTCTCCTGCCCGAAGATTGCCTCTTTCTCAGCCCCGAGCGCAGGAGCCTGGCGGGTTTTCGCTCCGTGCCCTGGACAGCGCTGCCTGGGCGGCCTCTCTCCAGCAGCTGCTCCTTGTCCACTCAAGGAGATGTCCCCACGATTCAGCAGTAACCAGACGAAGTCCCCATGGACTACTGTGGCCCAGTTCCCGCCCAGCCCCACTGTGGGAATCAGACTTTTCCCGGAGAAAACCCTAGGAAGCTAGTTTAGAGAACACTCCCTAAGCCGCCCCTCTCGGGGGGTGGGGGACAGGACTGGGAAACCAGGAGACGTTCCTCTAACCGGCTGTAGATGCACGCAGGGCAGCCATGGGGGCTGCAGTGGGCCAAGACTGCGTCCTCTCGGTCCGCAGACTCAGGCAGAGTAACAAATAGGCTTCAAAGACGTTGCTGGGAAGAGAGCGCCGTTTAAGTCACCCAGTCGTTAGCCTGCACAGGAGAGTGGGGAGCAGCGGGGCACGGAGAGATGAATTCCCGGAGCCAAGTTGCCCTGGGGATAAAATCAGCCAGACTGGCTGACCTGGGAAGAGCCGGCTGGCCGCGGAGAGAGAATTCCAGGCTGGAGGAGGTGGAGTCGCGCGCCAAGTTCAGGTGCAAGAGCGCGCGCACCGGCCGGTGGACTCGGGATTTCCAGGTACCGCATTGACCGCGTCTGTTGAAGTCAAGTGCGGGGTCAAGGTGGCTATTGAGGGAGGCTTGAAGAAAGGGTGGTAAACCCAGAAAAGTCACGACACGCCCAGTTCTCCAAGTTTTTGGAGAAGAGCGGGAAAGCGCCACAATCCCGCCTGTTACGCCGAGGAGTCGGCAAGTCTCCCAGCCCCACCCCTGCAGCAGTGATGCAAAGAGGACAAATCACCGCAGGGAGGGGAAAAAACCCTCCAGGGGTGACGGGGGTAGGGAGGTGGGGAGAGTAGGCAGCGAGCCGTCTCCAGCCAGTGGGGCGAGAGGGAACGCGTTCTGGGAAAACGAACCCCGCATAAATCATTGAGTTCGGAGCCCAGCGCTTTCAGAGGCCGGAGCGCACCTCCCCAGCCTCTCCCAAGCTGAGAAAGGGCAGACAGGGGAAGGGGCCGGCGACGCGACCGAGAGCAGCTCAGCTGGCGGAGGGGACGCTGCCCCCGGGGACGCCCTTAGGAGGGAGAGCAGAGCCCCGCGAGCGGCGAGCGCGGGGAGGCGAGGGCGCATCGGCCGAGATCCCTCGCCAGCCGAGCAGGACAGGGAGTGGGCCTCCGCGGAGGCCGAGGAGGCGCTGCATGGACAGCATGCGTTTCTCCGGAGGCCCCGGCGCGGGCTCCGCGGGCAACTTCAGCCGGCGGTGGCCTCTGGCCGCCGGCGGTGCCAACGCCAGCCGGGAAGCGGAGGCGCTCGGGGAAGGCGGCGGCCCGCAGGGGGACGTGCGGAACGAGGAGCTGGCCAAGGTGGAGATCGCCGTGCTGGCCGTGACTTTCGTGGTGGCCGTGCTGGGTAACAGCTGCGTGCTGCTGGCGCTGCACCGCACGCCTCGCAAGGCGTCCCGCATGCACCTCTTCATCCGCCACCTCAGCCTGGCCGACCTGGCCGTCGCCTTCTTCCAGGTGCTGCCGCAGCTGTGCTGGGACATCACCTACCGTTTCCGCGGCCCCGACGGGCTGTGCCGCGTGGTGAAGCACCTGCAGGTGTTCGGCATGTTCGCCTCGGCTTACATGCTGGTGGTCATGACCGCCGACCGCTACATCGCCGTGTGCCACCCGCTCAAGACGCTGCAGCAGCCGACGCGCCGCTCGCGCCTCATGATCGCCGCCGCCTGGGCGCTGAGCTTCGCGCTGAGCACGCCGCAGTGCTTCATCTTCTCCATGGTCGAGGTGAACAACGTCACTCGGGCCTACGACTGCTGGGCCACCTTCATCCAGCCCTGGGGGCCCCGCGCCTACGTGACCTGGATGACCGGCAGCATCTTCGTGGCGCCCGTGGTCGTCCTGGGCACCTGCTACGGCTTCATCTGCTACCACATCTGGCGCAACGTCCGCGGAAAGACGGCGTCGCACCGGGACAAGGGCGCCGCGGGCGCGGGCGGCGCTTTCCACAACGGGCTCCTGCTCGCGCCCTGTGTCAGCAGCGTGGAGACCATCTCCCGCGCCAAGATCCGGACCGTGAAGATGACTTTCGTGATTGTGACGGCTTACATCGTTTGCTGGATGCCCTTCTTCATCATCCAGATGTGGTCTGTCTGGGATAAGAAGTTCAACTGGGTCGGTAGGTATCGGGCCAATGGAGGGAGGTGCAGGGATGGGGCCGTGTGTGCGTGTGTGTGTGTGAAAGAGAGAGAGAGGGAATTTCTTTTCGTAATATCCTCTAGGGCCATAATTCTCAGACTTCACACCTGTGTGAAATTATCAAAAAGGCAAATTCCCGGGGTCCCCATCCCAGACATTTTGATTCAGTAGACCTGGAATGGGGCCCAGGAATCTGCATTTGTAGCGTGCCGTGATCCTAAAACCACAAATCCAGTTGCCCTAGAGTCAGCCAGGCAACTAAAGAAGACAATAATGACTTTCTGCCAAATCACTAACAGCTGTGTTAATACCCTGCCTTCAAGTCTGTTGGGTTCGCGGAAATATTTTTACTGTCACAACTGTTTTTGCTAGTTTGTGAAAAATATCAGAATTAATATAAAAATTTTGTAGAAATGCCCCAAGGGCAAAAGTAAAACGGACATATTTTTCTGAAGAAAGATTCTTAAGAAGTCAATAATTCTAATTTGACACTTAGTGTTCTATTTCTTATCATAATCTTTCAATTTTTTTCTAACAATCACTTTAACACTTTTTTGCTGGTGTCTCAAAGAAAGATTATTGAAAAACTCTAAATATGTTGGACTCATTCATTAGTCTTTCAGCACTGACTTGACCACACAGCTCTACCCCGCTCCACACAGCTCCTGCAGTAGTGTGCTGAGAATGTTCTCTACACCCACTAGCTTGTTTGATTTTAACTCATTCACAAACTAGAAAAACTAACTTCACAAGAATTTACCCCAAAAAGTATTATTTAATATTGTATCTTGACTAAAATGTTTCCTTTCAGTAAGAAAAAAACTTTTTCAAATCAAATATATTACAGGAATGTTACAGACAACAACTGTCTTTGGAGAAAATGTATCTTGGAAGAACTGCCTCTTTTGTTATCTGGGATTGGGGTAGGGAGTATATGTGATATACTGCGGAAGTTATATGTGCGAACAAAACATTGGGAGTGAATTTAATTCAAACAAATAAAAATTCTTGCATGGCTATAATATTACTGATAATGAAAAATACAACGCAGTTATGTTTTTGATTTACTATTTCCTGTCTTGCTTGATCTTAGCAGCCTCTTAATTATTGCCAATCAAATAAAAAATTCAGTCCAATTATGGCTTTATCAGGATTTAGACATGGTTAGTAAAAACTTCTTCACTTGTCATAGGTATGTTGATGATTTCTATTCTTTTTGAATACAGTCTTAGCCATGGGTCATGGTCACCTTTAATAGCATCTTAGCACAAGTATTATTAAATAACCTATAATTTATTCTGGCACAACAAGAGTGAAAAGATCGAAGTTTATATTTAATATCAAGGGAAAGTCAGTGTTTGTTGATTATTCTTATCTTTAGAAAAGGTATATTATCGGTAAAATAGTTCTACTGTGAAAGGTTATATAGTATTTAGGCAGTTTACCTTTGCAAATTCACATAAAATATTTCCAAAGCCTGTTGTAATTTCCTAATTCAGTTGTTCTTAATAGTACAATTTAATTGTTCAAACCACAATCAAAGATTGTTTTCTTTTAAAATGAAAAGAAGTTTCTAATTAACCAAAGAAAAACAACTAAACATTGCATCCTTCAGGGACCTATTTCAACTATCTCCTTCTTGATAGTTTTCCTATTAAGAGAATATATTTAATGTTAAAAAATGTAAAACTACTAATCATGGTCCACAATGTCATACTTTTGCCTGAGTTATTAGGATGAATGCAATTTTGTAAATGTGGCTATAGACTCTTGAAATTTCGTTGAAATTGCAGCCCTCTCTAAGCGCTGAGTCTATCAGCACATGCTAGGACTAGTTAAAGGTACAAAATTTAAAAAAATAAATAATTTAACAATCTTAACTTCTTGAAAGTCCCACTTAATTCCGCTTAAATATTTTAATAGTGGTTTAAAATATTTGAGTTAATTTCAAGGCATCTTGCTTGAAAGTATTTTACAACCAAGCAATTTCCATATACCACCCATTTCTCTGTTGGATAAGCAAAATATTTCATTTTCTATATATATATTTTTGGTGTGTGTGAGGAAGATCAGCCCTGTGCTAACATCTACCAATCCTCCTCTTTTTTTTGCTGAGTAAGACTGGCCCTGGGCTAACATCTGTGCCCGTCTTCCTCCAGTTTATATGGGACCCCCCCACAGCATGGCTTGACAAGCGGTGAGTCAGTGCACACCTGGGATCCCATCCGGCGAACCCCGGGCCACCCCAGCGGAGTGTGGCACTTAACCGCTTGCGCCACCTGGCTGGTCCCTTCATTTTCTATATTAACCCATAAGATTTTTCCCAATCTCATTAGTCAATAGGAAAATGAGTTTATCCAGTGCTCAGTTCCTTGCATTTGACTATTTAAATAATCTCCCCTGTGTTTTTCATACAGAGTCGGAAAACCCCGCCATCACCATCACTGCGTTACTGGCTTCCTTGAATAGTTGCTGCAATCCCTGGATATACATGTTTTTTAGTGGTCATCTCCTACAAGACTGTGTCCAAAGCTTCCCCTGCTGCCAAAACATGAAGCAAACATTCAACAAAGAATCGGACAGTATGAGCAGAAGACAGACTTGCTCTAACAACCGAAGCCCGACAAACAGTACAGGTACATGGAAGGACTCGCCTAGATCTTCCAAGTCCGTCAAATTCATTCCTGTTTCAACCTGAGCCCCACCTTCATGCAGCCTGACTCTTGTAACAGACTTTTTGGTCCTTTGGCTGAATCCAGCTGGAAATCATGAGAACAAATGAATTTATATGAGATAAGCATAAATCAATTTATTGGGTACAAGACTGCAGTTCTAGTTGCATTTTCACGTTGCTATGACCAAAAGCTATGAATTGTTTTATACAGAATGTTAATAAAAACACACTACACTAAAATTTGCAGGCCTAATTCCCAGAAATACAACAGAAGTTATATTTAAAGGAAAAATCATAACCACCCTGGCTTTATATTTTGTTGTTGATTTCTTTTCTTTTCTTTCCTTTTCTTTTTATTTCTGACATAACTAAGGCTTGATTGGCTTAAAGTCATATAACATAGGGGCGTTATTTCTAAACAAAGTCAGCTCATCATCAGCCTTAGCATTTGAAAGCAGTAGAAGAGACTTCAGACAAATTATGTTACCATCCAATAAAGTTGATTTATGCATCAGACAATGCAGCCTCAAACGGTGGCCTGGAGATGGGATGGTCCTTGGAGAGGCCTGAGTGCTGGAGGTATATTTAGCAAGGGATGCCCCGTTCAGCGTGGAAAGTGGAAAGTTCTGTTAGAAACTGTAAATCACCTAAATTTCAAAATGGTCAGTTTAGAACTGGCAGTTCCCTTCTTTGAGTTTCTCATGTTTTATTATTGTGAAAGCACAATTACTAAGATGCTGGAGGTTAGAGAAAATGTTGTCAACTAGCACATAATATCTTTTTTTCTCCTGCTGCAAGGTCATTTTGAAGTCAGATTTGTATGAGGAATATCCGATTTTATTAGAAGAGTAGAAAAGGATCGCCCAAAGTACTATGTAGACTTTCTCTAGAACGTTGTGAACATGTTTTGACCAGTGTTATAACGTATCCTGCACTATGCTGGTTACTAACACGATCATGACTTCATGTTTGGGAATCCAGATTCATAGATAAGAGTCTCCTAACGAGTAACTCAGGATATAGAATGTCCCCTCATGTTTAATTGAAAATAACTTGGTCTTTCCTTCTGATCTCCCACCCATCTAACAGTTTCATGGTAGAGGAGAGACAGGGTTGGGGGTGGGAGATGGAAAGAAAACTGCTCTACACCTAATCTGGCTTCCATCATTATTGAATGCACGACTTTAGGCAAACTGCTTAAAACACATATAGCCTCCATTCTCTTGGCTGTACAGTGGAGTTGATAACCCCTCACGGAGTTGTTGTGAGGATTAAATGAAATCAAGAGTGTGAAAAGACCTTCTTAAACTAAGCGCTGTACTAATGCTGGCAGCTGCTTTTAATATAGTCTGGGCGGGTCTTCAGAATCGCGCATCTTTTCCCTGTTCAGTTTTTACTAACCAGAATTTGTTGGCTTCATGTCTGGGATATAAAACGCTAAAATTTAGATCAGCTCTGCTGATTTGTTGGCAAGCATTGCCAGCGGCCACTAAACCTGACTTCCGCCTGACTCAAGCTTTCCAATTTAAAGATAGAACTTGCTTTCCTTCGAACGCTGGTAAATTAAAGCCAGCCAAGAGCATCAATTTCTTTCGCTTCTAAACAGAGGTAAATTACACTACCTGGCTGTTGTTACCGCATTTTTCATTAACGGAACTCAGTGGTTTTTTTCGAGCTATTTTGTCTGGCTCCTTCTCCTTCTTAGAGAACGTGCAATGATTTAAGGATACATCATAAACCTTTTGCACCCCTTAGAGGAAGTAATAGTTATTTTACTAGTATTATTGGTTGTTTTTTTTTTTTTTTTTAACTTTGTAGATAAGAAACTGAGGACTGGATGGTGCTGTGTACCTGGAACCATCAACTTCATTCTTCTTCGTTCTCTTGTTTTTCCCAATTCTCAGGTCATTTACTCCCTGGATTGACATGCCTGAAAAAATGTTTGCAAATGTTTTATAATGATAAAGCCCTTAGGTTTTAGAATTCTGCTTTTCAAAAATAACAAATAAGTTTCTTAAAGGGGACTGTCCAATATGAGCCATCAATTAAATTAATCAATTGTTCATTATTTGAGTCAAGAGTAGCATTTCGGTAACCTTGCGCTCTGTAACGTTGTCAGCCCTTTTGTCAACTTCTCTTTGACAGTTCAAAAACTACAGCCTTTTGGGATGGAACAAAGATGAGCCCACTTTTTTGTAAATCCAATTCCAAAATAATAACGTCATGGTTCTTGTATAGATTGTTTCAAAATGTTGACGTGTATCCCCAAGTAGAACAATTCGTTTGAAACTTGTTTCTAGGAATATCTCTCGAATGAGGTGCATATCAACCAACAGGTGCTATCAACCTGTGTTTTCTCCTTTTAAATGTATCAGGAGATGAAATAGTAGAAAGAGGGCTGGGGAGACACCAGAAGATCTGGGTGCTAGTTCTGCACTGGCAATTATATGGTCTTATTCTCTATGGTTTAGGCTGAGAGGCTTAACTTATCTAGTTGCTAAACTTTCTTAATGTTATGTATTCAGAAATGACATTCACATGTCCCAAAACAATATTCCAAATTGAAAGAGTCCCGTCTGTCAATTTCAGAAGAAAGGAAACTGTAGGTGGTAAGGAAGCAGAGTATGCTGGGAAGGGAAGATTTCCCTTTCTTGACCAAAGAGAAGATCTGAGATACTATGTCAGATGAAGGCTTGCAGTCAAGGATAAATGAGCTGCATCAACCTTATTTTATTTTGCAAAGTTATCTGTGGGAAGATCCTGCAAGTACATGATATGAATGTAGCTATGTGGGTATGGGAAAGGTAATTGATAAACAATAACCAGTAGGGAGAAACTGGTGGTACTCTCTGTTGGGCATTTGATAAATATTGATGACGAAAAAGAAACATTTTAAAGTACATATTAAGTGCTTAATGGGTTAATTTTTTGACATGTATTTTTATTTCTTTTTTGTTTGTTTGTTTTTGTGAGGAAGATCAGCCCTGAGCTAACATCCATGCCAATCCTTCTGTTTTTGCTGAGGAAAACTGGCCCTGAGCTAACATCTGTGCCTATCTTCCTTCACTTTATGTGGGACGCCGCTACAGCATGGCCTGACGAGCAGTGCATCAGTGCACACCTGGGATCCGAACCCGGGCCGCCAGCAGTGGAGCACGGGCACGCACTTAACTGTTACACCATGTGGCCGGCCCCTGGACGTGTCTTTTTAAAGTCTAAAAATAACTATAAAGGATATTAGTGAAATTCTCTGGTTAATTATATACTTGTCCTACATACAGAATTTCCATCATCATCAAAAAAGTCTTACGCCGTGATTGAGGGAAGGGTGTGTTTTTTAACGAGAAAAGAAATCAAGTAGTCTTAATAACATGTAGTCTCCTCCCAAACTTATTACTGTTCCTAGAATCGACAACTATTGAAGATGAAGAAATAAAACTCTAATCTGTTATTATACAAGAAAAGTAATCCAATTAGGTTAAAGTTTTATGTTTGTCGGACTCTAATACCTGTTTTTTGGTAACATAATTGGACCCTCGGAGCTTTAAATTATAGCTTCAGAGTTTGACTCTACCACTAAAGCATAATTAGAAGCCATCGCAGGAGAAATTGAGTCTAATCTTACACCCCAAATATCAAAGATTAGACTCATTTAAACCCATGTAAACTGGGCCCGTATGGATTTTCATACTGGAGACAACAGCTTTATTTAGAGTCAGCCCGGGGCAGGGCCATCTGGGCTGCTGGTCCTGGAGGTGCAGAAGCAGCCGCTATATCCCTGCCCTCTTCCTCCCTGTGGTCCTTTCAGTGCCACTCATGGGCAACATGGGAATCATGAGTAACACAGGGCAATAAATATCAGAAAATGATTCTTGATTACAATTTGACCTCAGCCATACCGGGCAAAAGTTTAAGGACTATTCGTAAGAAGAGTTATTTCGTTTAAGTCCCCAAGGCAGCCTAAATACGTTGAATTGCACAAATCGTGTGATTCCATTGCACACATAGGCATTTCAAGAATATTGTTCTAACTCAATTTTTAGGTACACTAAGTTATCATGAATGAAAATATATATGTGACCTATAGTATGTCAGCATCAAAAAATATATATTATGGTAAAAATAAAATGTCATTCTTTTTTCTTTTTGCTTTTATACATATATATATATATATATAGTCACATCACATCTTTTTACATTCATTTATATTCTAAACAAAAACAAAGTATTATAGAGTGAATTCAATATTTTTGTGTTCCAGGGTCAAATTAGCAAATTTAGAGAAGGAAATCTGAGAATAAATCTGATAGTAATATCAGAATAATTAACAATTATTATTAATATAAAATAATTAGAATTTCTACACATGAAAGTAGTTATCTTCGTATCACAGGATTTATGACAATATATTCTATGATGCTTTAGATAATTATTGTAACAAATTTATTAAGAATTAATGTTGTATATTTAGTATTCCATTTTTGGAACTGTCTTTTCAGATGTGCTATTTCCCCTAGCTTATTGCACTATATGGAAGAATTTCAGTGTGTTTTCTTGGGGCAATTGTATGGTTCTAGTTTTGATGGATGTTGAAATGTTTTGTGATTGTATCTAATATTTGGTCCTTTACAAAGAAAATGGTTTGTGGTATTATACTGAAATAACTGGTATATTCATTCCTCAATTTTATTGTGTATTGGCTTGATTTTATAGATAAAAATAAATATCAAATTTGTTTGAAACAATTCTTTTACAATCTAGTTTAATAACAAAATATATTTCAAGTTAATTATGCTGATTTTGAAGAAACAAAGACTTGCATTACAGCTGGTAGCTATTGATAGGTTTATATTTGAGCACAAGAATGTTCATGTTTATACCATCTGACTATAGCAAGAACAGGTGAAACTTCGTAACTGCCCTTTCAATAAATTATAATCATGAAAGCAAATTAATTTTGTTATAGTCTGTATTAACTAAAACAATTGGCTTAGCTGAGGTCATGTGTGTCATCCTAGCCTAAAAATGTCATCTCTGTTTATTTGTTTTTAGAAGTTGGTGAGACTGACTTCTGGGCCCAAAGATCAAGACTATTCCCATTTAATAGTCTTTAAAATTGAAATTCTTGGGGCTGGCCCGGTGGTGCAAGCAGTTAAGTGCGCGCACTCCGCTGCAGCGGCCTGGGGTTCGCTGGTTCAGATCCTGGGTGCGCACCGACGCTTGGCAAGCCATGCTGTGGC